TAGTGAGTAGAGGCTAATAGTCCTAGAACCGAGTCATTATTGTTATATTCAGCCTTTTTCATTTAAGGTGATTAGGGACCTTTAGTTGAATTTTCATACAATCTGATGAGTAGCTCTCATATCCCCATTGCATTTCAGATAGACACATTTCCCAAAGGGTATTCTCATGCAGGCTGAATTGAGCTGCTGTTTAAACCTCGTCTGAACTGGTCTCATCAGTAGTCCCAGCGGGACTCAAACCCGGCGTGTGGTAGCGCGGCATACAATGTCGACATGTTAACCTCTAGACCACACTGCCATGAATGCTCTTGGATCACTACCAGTCCTTCATAAACATAAACAAAATGAGGTGAATACAGCTCTTATATGCAAGATCTACTAGCAGTCTCGAGAACTTGCGTATAAACGCAAAATACATAATTTAATCAACTGAAATAACAAATAACACTTTGCTTCATCGACAATCTCACCAGAGAAATGTGATATATGAAAAGCTCAGATTTCTCAAAATCCGCATCAGGAATAATCTTGAAAGTAGCGTAATGTCGAACTTGTTGAAACAATGTAAGGTCATTCTCCTACACGATTACTTTTAACTCTTACATTTAAGATCTACTGGTAGTTACGAAAACCGTCCTATAAACTGAAAACAACTCATGACCCTACGAAATAAAAAGGGAATCTAAGCCTCTTAACGAATTGTCAGTCAAAGAGTTGTGAGCTGGTACATGTCGTATTACTGATATATGTACCCCTAAACAGTTTTACTTCGTATGAAAAAATTTTCTCAATCACAATTTGCACTTTCGCAAGCTAACTTTCACAATTTAATCGAAGGTATGAAAACTTAGATGAGGCGTCCTTTAGTATGGCCGCTGTCTCCCTTTGTTGTATAGACGTGGTTTGACCTCGTTTTCACAACTTGGTCATATTGTCAGTACAACCTAGAGGAACTCCCTTCGTCCGAAGGCCGTAGTAGTCATGACAACTTCCAGAGTCGGACCGTGGACTTAGTACATTCTAAAATGTTTCGCCGA